AATTGATTATGTCGGGGGGTTTCAGGGGAAATTGATTATCTTACTTTGTTGGGCGAGTTACATCATTCACACATAAATAACAGTAGGATATTGACATCTCCGGACTGGTCATATTGCATGTGCCCGGTCGAATGTTGTGCAGTATTGATAAGGTAAAGAAAGGAAATGAAGGCTCAGATTTTGGAGGACATTGGGAGAGTAAACCAACATCCTCCAGCAATATTGTCTCACTGGCCCCCCTACCGGATACTAGGAATATAATAACACTTTGCTTGAGGCCATCCAGCTTACAGCACAGTCCTGGCTGGGAAGGTTGTGCAGGGGGTGATATTACCACCAGGTCAGTGGTGGAGCAATCGCCATAGCGAACCAGGCAGCCGCTATGGGGCCCAGCCAGGACATTCTCCTGATGCCGTGCGGGCCGCCTGGGTCGCTCTGGCTGTCACTTGTGGCTGTGAGGAGGATGTGCCGCTGTTCACATCACTGACAACCTGTCAGTGATCTGTGCAGCAATGCGATCCTCCTCACAGCCACAAGTGACAGCCAGCAGCTGCGGAGGAGGAGCGTTCGGGCCCAGAGTCGGCAGTGGAGGAGGCAGGGCCCAGCGATGGAGGAGGCGGGAAACACACTTTAAGGGGGAAACACACTTTTTTGTGTGTTTTTTTTTTTTGCGTGGGGCCCCCCCTTAAAATCTATGACATTTTAGACTGGGGTGCCTTGAGATTTTGCATACTTTTAAAAGCTGCTCTACTTCACTATGGAGTCCTGTGGTGATGTAGATTTAATGGAGGATTAAGAAAATATCAGCAGCTACAAGAGAGAATATAAGTTTGGCTACCCTAATGTCAGGCTGTTGCCAGTAAACAGCAAAAGCATAAATTCCGCAAAGTGAAGACATTCAACCTCATGCTTCCATCCCTAGAGAATTTATACTTTCTAGGGTAAATCAGTCAAATTATTTTCAATGGCATTAAGTCAGAGGAAATGGTAGAAACCCCTATACTTGCCTCACAGCTGCTGATTGGCTAAAGTGTCTTCTTCGCTCCCCACAACAACACCAATACTGTTATCAGTGCTGCCAAACAGCCCTGAAGACACCAGAGCGCCGCAACTGGGCCCACTTTCTTAGCATCCTGCCTTTAGAATTCCCATTGGGTTCCAATGAGCTCTATCAATCTTCAACATCACCCAGAGAAGACTGAGCAGCTCCAGTCTCTGGTAGAACAACTGCATAGCGGGAGTTTCAAGCACCAAGTATTCAGAAAAGTAACTTGACTGTTAAAAGCAGATAATCAGATCAGGGAAAAGAACACAGGGGCAGTAGTAATATCACATATTGTGTATACGGTATAGCTGAATCCTTTGGCACCAGACTTTTGCACGAACCAGATATAGGAGTTTATTGAGCCCTGTTGGGAACACACCTTCCCGTACCATACTAGTGTTGTAAGAAGCCCATCATTGTGATGCGAAGCCAACAGGTGGCAGAAAGCTTGCAGTGAGGCAACGGGGGAAGGAGTGGCAAGGGTGTGCAGACAAGGGGTGAGTATA